TGCTGTATACTGTATCAAGGACGCTGTTATACAATGTCTACCACAGATCCTATACTACATACCTCACCCTACGCCAAAGAATCTACAGTCAGCTGCAGAAGACATTGGGCATATTCGACTGGTTCATTTCGTTGACTACGAATTTTCGTTTAGAATTATTTTCATTCGACTGGTTCGACAGAATTTAAAATTTCACATTTCACTGTATGAAAATATTTTTTTTTTTACAAAAAACCCATACTGTCTCAAGCTGAAGCAATCTTGATTACACAGCGTGTATCGCGGTAACTAAGCAGCCATTTTGTTTTGTCGAGTATTTACAAGTTTTCTATTCGACTGGTCGTCTTCGTTAAGTAGGATTTTACCGCTGCGCAGGTGGGCGTGGTTTAACGAAGAACAACCATTCTCTCCCATGTCAGTTGTTTAATAGGATGATGAGTGATGATTGTTGATTATTACAGTATGCTATGTAAACAATGTGGCGAATGGAGCTGTAACATGACAGTTAAGATGCTTGCCTTCCAATCACAAAGTCAGACTTCAATCAAAATCTTGTGATGGTAAAAATATTCTTTTCTACTAAAGCCGAGCACTCACTGCGCCCGCGGTCGTCGGCCGACGCGATTCTATGTTGAACGCAACGTCGTTAGTGACGATCCGTTCAGACTGCCAAATGCAAACAGCAAGACGGTGTTGAGTTGTCTTAGCGCTCACAAAGAGCAGAGTAAGATTTGTCGTACTACGCTGTGAGTACCCGGCTTAAAAAACCCCACTTCTCAAGCCTCTAAAACACATGCTTTGGAGGAAAAAATTGTATATGTTGTACAACTCATTTTTCTAAGACACACAAAACGTGTTTGCCGGAAAACTCGGAAACGGTTTATAAGATACAAATTGTTTTAATGTTTAAAAACTGGGGGAAAATGTGTGTAACAACCCTTTTCCCCCAGTTTTTAAATATAAAAAAAAAATGTGTATCTCATTAACCTTTCTTTCCTCTGGGGGCTGGCTTCAATGAGATTTATTTAATAAAACTTCGTTCCATCTTGGCGAGCCGTGTGTTAAATGTTGGTGTAAAAGAATACTGTGTGCAAAGGGGTAATGGTGTAACTAAGGGATGGTTTATATTGGTTTTTACTAAACAATAAAAATGAAAGCTGGTTTGATTAACAATACAAATCATTAATGCATGAAACACCTTAAATTTTACATTTGGTTATTTGTATATATTACAATAGGAACGTCCATAAAAACTGATACATACATACATACATACATACATACATATTCAAATAAATTTCAGTTTTGAAACACGTCGATCCTGTTACATTGATGTCAACTCTAATTCCACCACTCTATTGATTTGTTTCATATTTAATATGAAGAATACGGGAATAACACACTGTTGTACTGCATTTCATAATCGGGATGACTGAGCATCCTCCTTTGTAAATAAGCTGCATTTTGTGATATAAGTCAAATCTATTAATCAAAATCCAAGAGGCAGCTAATCAAATATTATTTCGTGCTCACTTGCACATCGTGTGTGTTCGTATCGATAGATAATCTTTTTGTAGCCACAAATGATGTTTCGACTACCGGACAAGTACCAGTACTAACTTGCGACTGGTGTTTATTTCTTGTGTTCATTGATGTGTAGTCACTACTACCGCTTTTATTTCGACGCTTTACGAGCGCTCTGAGCCCAGGTATACGCGAAAACAACCGCATGAATTCTCTCATGAAATTATCATTCATCCACGCGTACAGAATAGGGTTGAAACAAGAGTTCGAAGCAGCTAATGTGAGAGTGGCCATTGCTGTGATGGTGTCTGAGTATTCTGACCCTTCCAATTTTACTGATGGAAAACTATTGACGTCAAAATTCTTACAGCCATTTTCAATATCAAAATCATGCGCTGTATAAAATAGTACGTAACTGTCATTCTCACTAAGGTTATACTGGTACAAGCCACACATATCCCTCACTTTACTCACGCAAGTTCCCCCATCTTCATTATAGAATAATAAAACCAGACTAAAAATACTAAGCGGTAGCCAGCAGAAAGCAAAACATAACACTACGAGTGACAACATTCGATTCATGTGTCGTCTGCGCGAATTCTCTCGTTTTTTCCGTTCAGTGCTCATCGTACCTGGCGTTACGTTACGCGATAGTTTCAGTGAAATACAGGTATTTGTAATAGTCACCACTAATAGTGGAATAGCAAACTGAAAAAGGAACAGGCCCAAATAATATAGTTTTTGCTGTTGATGATCGTCCCAAAATTCATTACATTCTTTATTGAATGTTAACCACATGAAATCAGCCACCTGATGCGTTAAGGCAAATGGTAGGGTCATTACTATTGAAACACTCCATATTAGCACAATGACGAAGCAGCAAGACCTTTTACTGAGCTGCAGTGACGTATTAAGTGGGAAAACAACAAGACAGAAGCGATCAATGGCTATAGCAATGAAAGTGAACGTGGATGCGCAAACGCAACATGACATCACCATGGGAACGATGCTGCACATTAATTTACCGATCACCCAGTTTTGTGGAAATAGATTTGTCCACGCATTGAACGGTATCCCAATCAAACACGACACTATATCAGAGATAGCTAGATTAAATATGAAGAAATTGATGACAGTTCGTAATTTTGGTCGCAATATAACAATAATTACGACAAGAAGGTTCCCGATCGAGCCCAGTAAAAGTATAATTGTCAACAAGATGAAAAATATAACGATAATATAAGTGGACAGCGTACAAGGTTGCGAAATAAGCGTACATTTCAAGCAAGACACGATGTCAATGATTATAGTATTGTTTAAGGTTTCCATATTGTGGCCAGTCCGGATGTACACATCGAATTTCCTCTAGCAGTTTTCTCTAGTCTTCGGTCCGAATCATAGCATTTTTGATAGTTGCCTGGAAACAAGCAGAATATATTCTCTTAAAAATAAATAATAATGAATTAGGCAATGTTGATAAGAACATTATCATAGAAAATATGATAATTAGGCCTATACTGTAATAAATTATTAGGTATATTTCCGCGGGAAAGAGTGAAAGTGTGAAAAACACTTCTATGAGCGGCAAACTGAGTCGTTTTAAAACTAAAATCAAATTAAATAATGCTAAATAAAAGATATATCGCACTTTTCATTACTTTGTCAATATGGATAGCACAAAGAAACATTTTTATTGAAATCTGGATGGTATAAATAGGCCTACTTAAACATCCCCGAACATACGATAAACATGCTGAGTTATACATAAAATCAATAAACACACAGCAACCTTTGTACTCTAAAAATATTTTGCTTCTCTATACGTGGATTGAAAACACTAAAAACCTTTAAAATGCTAATATAATTTCAAATTTACATTAGAAAAGATCATAAACATTCTGGATTTGTCGAAGTGATGACGTCATTCCAGTCATGGCCAGTAGATACTAAATAAATAAGACCATATCAGTTTTATATAGCGCACCCTGTCATACGAGTCAAATGTTGTTTCATATCATATTGCGTCACATATCAAACGATATGATTTGATATGATGAAATGATTTTGAATATTGGTAAGACTATATGATCGCTAAAGCCTGGTCTCCTTAAAATCGCTACACTGTCGCTATGGTGTTTTCAGTGCAATCACTGTTACTGCTGAGCAGTCAACGACGGAATCGGGAAGGCTCTCCTATTACACCAAACAATCAGCATCACCGAAAGTTGTCGACGATATCGTGTAGCGATTGTATGGAAACCAAGAATGCGGTACCATCGGTGTTCTATGCACGGGAGGAGTGCTACGGATAATCCGGTACGGCTAAATAGTATAATAGGCTAATGGAATGTTCAATATCTTGCTCGTGTCGGGGTTTCAATCCCTCGCTGTGCATTTCGCTTGTGTCCTTGAGCAAGGCACTTTATCTGCATTGCTTCTCTCCACCCAAGAGTATAAATGGGTACCTGGTGGGGTTGCTTGCTCCTGCGCTGATTACCAGCAGAAACACTTGGCATGTGGACCCAATGACCAGGGAAAGGAACTGCGCTTTATAACCTCAAGGAAGAGGCGCATTATAAATGCCCATACCAGCACCAGTACCAGTTAGAGAGAGTGACACTATAGAAACCGAGCTTGACCTGCAAAGGCCTATATAGTCAGATTTTCATATCAGTGGAAAACATTAGGTTTGTGTTGAGGACAATTCAGGTTCATAAAAGCAGTGAAAACACTGTAAGCAACACAAAATTGATTGAAGAAGGAACATGCCGCGGCGCTTATTCGAGAGCGGAGCTTAGGAAGTGTTGATTGGTTATTAGTTTACAATGCCTAATATGCTTATTAATAGAGACTCGATACTCTACTAACCCATCAATCAAACGAAAGTGTCCCAGCGTTTCCATCAGCCGTGTTGCGGTAGACCTATAAGCCTACTAATTATTGTCTAATTAGACTTGTTATAAAATAATGTGCGTAAGTGAAATTTATATAATGTATAATGTGTAAATTGGTATAAATTCGACTGTCTGATTAATTATCAAACACGTTGTCCGGTTTTATGAATACATAAAACAATAAGCTTTATGTGTGCTCATTCGTTGTGTGCTCATTCGTTACGTTATGAACGCAATAAAACACTCAGAACACCTTACCAACCAGACACAGTTTCTCAGTCATCCTCACCTATCTACGTCACCAGTACAACGGTCAACGGGCGCGTACATGCGTTGAAATACAGCCAATCGCAGCGATGGACAGTTCGCGGAACTGTAAATTCAATGTTTCTATCGTTCTTTATTCAGCTTCAAGTGCCTGTCATTCTTTACTTAGTTACAAGTGCATTACATGAAATATGCTACAATTAATGTTAGAGAAGAAAACGATAATCATAAAGAATAGGACGTCTAATGCAAATGCGGGGCGTCTGTAAGGACTTTAAGTATCAACTGTACCGCTAGGCCGTAGAACGTTTAATGTAGGTGCGGGGCATCGACAAGGACAGTCATAAGTTCTAACTACCCCACAGCGGGTTTAATGCAGATGCAGCGTCTTATGCAAGGAGAGGTTCCATACCGCTAACACCACAGAACATTAAAAATGAATGCATATTCGGGCGTACTTGCAAGTAGGACATATGTTCCAACTACCGCTAGCCCCACAGAATGTTTAATGCAGATAAGGGGCAAGGACGTAAGTTCCAACCGCTAACTCCACAGAAGGGGAATAGGTTCCATACCGGTAGCACTAAAGAAAGTAAAAATGCATGATGCGTCTGCAATTAGGACATAAGTTCCACTTACCGCTAGCCCCACTAAAAGTTTAATGCAGATGCGGGGCGTCTGCAGGGACTTAATCCCAAGACAGACGGAGGAGAAATGAGATTACAAAAAACTAGAGAAAGTTTGCTTTCTAAAATTTAACTTCTATTCTTTTCTTTACATAATAATTATTATTAGTAGTAATATTAATAACATAAGAAAAATATTAATATATCAATATTATATGATTATATTATATTATATTACATTATATTATATTATATAACAGCTGTTGATATATATATATATATATATATATATATGTATATATGTATATATATATATGTGTGTGTGTGTATATATATGTGTATATATACATGTATATATATGTATATGTATGTATGTGCATATGTATACATATATATATATAATATATATATAATTTATGTATATATAGGGCCTGTATAAAACCTTAAATATAATTTATAATAGGCCTCAAATATTAAAACGAATTTACTTCGTTATTGTTACAGAGGAGGCATTGCTTTATGTTTAAACCTACACGGGAGGAGGAATGGGGAAGTTATGGTGAGGTTTGAAAACAGTGAACAGAAGGATCTTGCACTACAACGTCACAGGCATAATCTAGGCAAACGATATGTAGAGGTAATATATTCTAAATATACATATGAAAATCATATGTTACAATTTCTAACGAAGTTTTATAGACTTGCATTGTACAGTAATGATTTTTTTTTTACAATTAAATAACAACTGCTGTAAGAACACGAGGAAGGCCATGCAACAGAATAATGAAAAGGCGGTTATCAAAAGCTTTGAGACAAAGGCAAAATAGAACACGTGAATAAACAACGATTTCTGATTGGTTGTTAATGAGAGCTCATTACCGTAAACTTTATATTTTTGCAGGTATTTCGAGCGCAGGGAGAAGAGTTCATTAAAGTGGCCGCAGGTACGTAAGCTCAGATCTAATTTGCATAATAATGCACAGTATATGAAACTGTCTCTTATACACATCTAGATGTGTATAAGAGACAAGGTCTATACAGTATACGGTACTGAGGCCTAAGCTATTACGGTATGTTCTGAATGATAAGTATTTAAGTAAAGGAATAAGATACCTCAATAACAGTGGACGAGTGAAATTATTTCACGTTCCACTGTCGCGAAGGAAAATTAATTTTGTCACACTAAGATATTTATGTGCTAAGTACACGACTGGTGGAGAACCGTGTACTATAAAGCAGAATTATGGGATTGAAATTAAATTCTATTATGGTAAAAGTATCCTGACGCGTTCTACTTCTGTTTAAAATTTAGTGCCAACTTCAAAATCAAGGCTTCGGTACGAGATTATTCAGCAAGTAGAGTCTTATGTAAAAAGACACAGTTAACGACATCCTAACATTCTTAACATTAACAAATTGTTATCAATTTCTTATTAGCTATAGATCCAGTAAAGTTTTGTTCACATTAGAATAAATTTGACGCGTTGTAAAATTATGAAATCGGACGTGTACCGTACCGCATCCGAGGTTGCACGCAAGAGGAAGAATAAGGCAGAAACAGGAGAACAGCCACGTCTGAAGTGTACAATGTTAACCTATCATAACCTAAACCTCAAGATCTAGGCCTGTATTTTGCAATAAAAGTAGTGTATGATATTATTCATAAATATAATACATAGGTATATTATGTAGTAATTTGAATTTAATGCACGTAGGACAAGCGCCACCAGGAGCAACTGAATAACTGTCTCTTATACACATCTAGATGTGTATAAGAGACAGTATATATATAGGCCTATATATTAGAATACTTGTTTATAGTTTTTAGTTATTTGTCCATGAGAAATGAGTGAGATATAAAGATATTTTATACAAGTCACTTCAATAATGCACATTAATGGAAAGGCAATCAGAATGATGGATAAACCGAGGCCTAACACACATCATATACACAAAAGAGCGCCAAAGGGTAAAGGCGTTTATTTTTGTTTCTCGGTGTTTTTGACTATTTCTGCAACAAATCCAATAAATTTCCGGATATATAATTCAGACTTTATCGTTGCGGCTCTTTGTTATGTTTATATGGAGATTGATGTTGTTAAAGTGATAAGATAGCCAAAATGAATCCAAGGTACGCCAGAGTGCTTCGCAAGAGCTCGCAAACTGGATATAAATCTGATCGAGTGGTAGATGCGTTTATCATCATAAAACTGAGTATTCGCGTCGCGGCTTTAATTACGCGCATCGGAATCTTTCGTCATTAGATACCTTCGTTGTGGACGACGTCGTTGGTGTGATTAATTTCAGTTCCTTCTCTGACTTTCCTAATCAGATCGGATGCATGGATACAGTGGAAGGTTAGCCAGCGATTGTAAATTAATTGTTTTATTTCATTATGATGTTCAGCAATCAGAAATGTACTTGAGTACGCAGCGAATTCAATTAATTTGGTTCTGTTTATTCGAAACGCGAAGAAGATAAAGAGCCTTTAACACCGTGTTAATAGTAATTTACAGCACACGCTGTTTAAAAACATTGCTCGTAAATTTTATATTGATGAATTTAAAAAATTGTATTTTTATTTGATTTCTAGGTCTTTTATTCGATGGCAAGTGTGTATGGATAGGCTA